CTCTTTCACTCTTTCCAGATCTCTCTTCCAGCTGTCTTTGTTGGTTAATACACGTTTGGGTGTTAAGTTCTCAAAATATTTATTGAGCGTTTACTCTGGGCCAGGCACTGTTCTAAGCATTTTATGTGCATTATCTCATTGGCATCTCTACCAGTTCCCACGCAACCATATGAAGGAGGCCCTGTTGCTGTTCTCATGTTGCAGAGGAGAGGCTGAGGGGGCAGACCAGAGGGCTGGATGCTGGCCTGTGCTGTACTGCTGTAGGGGCTGGGTTCTGACTCCAGGGCCCCTACCCATCCTTGCTGCCCCAGCTGCCTCCCTTGTTCCTGGGATGGTCCTTGGACCTTTATTCAGTCTCTCCTGTCTGACAGAAATGCCTCATAGATGCTCTCCTGTAACACGCTGCAGAGGCCCACGCGCATGGTAGGTGACTTATGAATGCTTGTTCCTTGGGTGCATGTCTGCGTGGCCCCGAGGGGGGTTTCAAGCCCGAGAGCCACTCCCCTGCGGACCATCACATTGACCTCTGTTGTCTTCTGTTCCGGGACAGCTACCCCTCGCTCCTCTGCCAGGCTAGTGGGTTAGTGCAAGCCCCCCCACCCCGGTCCCAACCCTGCCCCGCTCCGGTCCCTCATGGCTCCGCAGCGGGGGCAGCAGGACTGCCTCTCTGGCCCACAACATGTTTCCTTGTCGTCCCCTTCTGAGCCCTCTCGCTGTGCCTCCTCTCACCATCACGCTCTCTTTTGATCTCACAACCCAGGCCCTTGGAGAAATCAGACAGTATGAAATATGAAAACTGCCTGGGAAGTAATTGAAGAAACACTGTGACTTTTGAAACCCATAGAGATAACACTCACACCTTCTTACTCACGTTATTTAATTTTTAATGGCAGATTTAATTAATGGAGATCAGGTCTTCTGGTTTCAGATGTGCGTATGGAGCAGCTGGAGGAGGAGGGGGAGGGGCAGCTGTGTATAGGGTAGAGGAAGAGATTCCAAAATTTGGGAATCTGAAGATCTAACAGGGAGGAAAAACCATCCAGAAATAATGACTCACGATCCCTGGGTCCTCAGAGACGTGCGGGGATTCAATGCAGTGCACTTGCAGTGCTCTCCCCGCAACTTACCAGTGGGTGACAGCACTCCTCTCAGGACAGCGCTGCGGCCTCCCCAGGCCCCCGTGGGATCGCGGCAGGCAATTCCAGGCTCCCTGCTGGCACTGCACTCCATCGTCCACATGGCTGCCAGAATGTTTTCTCTGAAACACACATCTCCCCTGCCACTCCCCCACGTAAAAGTAAAACCCGTGGGCTGAGGTCTAGGCTCCCAGCCTGCAGTGGAGACCCACCCCCCTGCCGCCCGGGTCCCCAGGTCCCGGGCTGTCTTTGTCTCTAGCCCCTTCCCTTGCTCCTGGTCCAGTTGGAGCATCTACTGTGTGGCACCCCTCGCTCTCCCTCATTTACAGGACCGTCCCCCTCCCCATCATTGGCTCATTTCTGCTCACCGTGTGAGACTCAGTTTAGTAAAGGCGGATGTACCCTTTGACCTGAGAGTTTCACTTCTGGAATGCACTATTCGGATGTGCTCAGTCACGTGCAGAGGTGAGGATGCCGTGATAGCGGGACCTGCTGTGGAGTACCGTTCAGCGGATAAAGTGGCGAAGCCTTTGGGAAGGGAAGAAATGAGCGGTGCTGTGGGTACGCACGGGCAACCAGCTCACGGACCCTGTGCACGAGGGGGAGCACCGGGGCCGGGCTGGCCACACGGCTTGCTGGTCATGACATTCCTACCCTCTGCCCTTTGTGCTTTTGCCTTTTTAAACTACGTGTATTATTTTTTTCAAAAATGCTATTTTATAAAAAAGAGGTTTTTTTAGGCCTTGGTTCAGGTGCCAGCTCCCAAGAAGCCAGTCGGATGGCCTCCGTCAGACTGTCCTTCCTGGTACACCCACAGCACCGGGGACAGTTGGCTGAGCGGCCCGTTGTAATCGTGACGTGGTGTTGTCTGGGAGCCCCAGGAGGCTGGGGGGCAGGCGTGCCTGTCTTGGAATCCTCTGGCACTTAGCGGGTGCTCGGTGTGAACACGCGTGGCCCCCAGTCCTTAGAGAAACCCCTCAACGGTGGTGGTAGGGTCCAGGGGTCTGCAGGGTGCACGCCAGCAGCCTCAGGAAGGCCTGGTGGACACAAGAGGCAGGTGCAGCCATCCCAAGGTGTGGACCAGAACCTGCATGTGTCAGGTGAGCCACGCAGCACAGCCCCTTGTGCTGTGTGGTCCCGGGGTCTGCTCAGGCAGATGACATGGCAGAGATGGCGGGGAGGGCGGGTGCGACAGGAAGGGGAATTCCTCTGAGTCACTCTGAGAGACAATAGAGGAAGCTGCAGCGGGGTAATCACAACCACTTCTTGGCCTGTGGGCACTTCCTGTGACAAATCTCCCTGACCGCACGTTCAGTCCGCACTCGTAGGCAACTCAGCGACTTACTGAGCTCAACCTGACCGGGCCATGTGCGTGGAGATGTGGGAGCAGCAGAGAGCCACTAGGGTCCTGTCAGCCCGTCTGGGCAGTGGGAACTCCCTTGGGAAGGGCCGCTGGCAGCCCCAGGCCTAGGAGACAGTGGCCTGACACATCTCTAAGGAGGAGAAGGCCTGAGCCCGGAGACTGTCTTGTGGCAAAGAGAACCAGTCAGAGTGAATGGAGAGCTTACTAAGGCCCACGCTGGCCTCAGAAAGTTCAATGGTGCTATGACAGTGGCTGCAACGGACAGGGCGGGCACTGTGAGCCCGGCACCCCTCAGGACCATCTGAGCCACCCTGTGATGGAGCGGGAGCCCTGTCTTACCACTAGGAAGTGAGTGACTCACCCAAAGAACACAGCATGTGCCAAAGTGAAGATTACAATGTGGGCCTACGGACCATGTGGTTTCCTGTGAGGGCCCGTGAATGGAAGGTTCAGACTGAATATAAATGATCCCCATCAAGGATGTCACAGAAGAGCATCTGCGTGGAGCGGGAGGAGAGGCCCTGAGATGATTCACGTTTGTGGCCTTTCTCCCACACCCAGGACAGTCCATGGTGGTCGAACGTCAGACCCGTTGAGGCAAAATCATAATCTCTTGGCTGGAACATCAGGGCTCCAGAGAGAAAACATGGGACAGCTTGGAGTCAGCACAGACCTGCAGGCCAGGAGGTCGGGCAGGAGAACCCCTATGTGTTCTGTGCCTGTCGTGCTGGGAGGGTTCCCATTTCTCATCTGCTGTGCCTTAGGGCCACTGGAGAGAGGCGTGGGCACCTCCTTAGTTCAGAGCTGAGGACCTGCCCAGGCTCACTTAGCAGCTGGGGGGGGGGGGGGGGGGGGGGGGGTGAAAGGCCCAGCCCTGGGCTCGCCCCAGCACAGCCCAAGGCAGAATTCGGGTACTTGGGTTCCTCCTGATGTGGGCCCCAGGCATTCCCTCAGGCACACATCCCTCCGCGGCCCCTCCCCCTTGGCTCTTCCCAGGGGCAGGTACCAGAATGGGAGTGAGGGCCAGGTTCCCACCCAAACTCTGCCTTCAGTACCCTGCAGGTTCCTAGGAGAGGTGCTTTCCACCCCTGCCTCGGTTACGTTCTCTACAGATGGCCGACGGGGTGCCTTGGGGGTAGGGCACATCCCCTGCATGGCTCTGATCTGAGCACCTGTCATCTCTTCAATTTTGTCGAAGGAGCAACTCGTTCCTTTTGGGCCAGGCTATCTCTGTGCATGGTGGAGTGGGGAGAGCCAGGCTCGGAGTCTGACACACACACAGGGCATGGCTCTGTGACTTCCGGGTCCCTTTCCCTGCCACTCGAGCGTCTTGTAAGGACTGTGCCTGTGGGAGGCGCCCCAAGCCGGAAGCTTCCCTTTACCCACCTGTAGAAAAAGCAGCCCTCGCACAAGGGTTCTGTGAAAGGTCTGGCCCAGGCCTGCACAGGGTAGGCGGGCTTCCCATGGCATCCGTGCCATCTCCTCACCCTCACGGCGAAAGTCCGACTGCCCGCCCGTCTTGGGCCGCCTTCTGGGGTTTCATCCTTGAGACAGCCTGCTGCAAAAAGTCAGTCTGTTCACTGTGAGCTTCAAGGTGCTCCCCCAGGAGTGTGGTGGCAGGTGGGGTTAGCACGGGCATTTGCGGTCGTCTCTTCTGGAAACCAGTGGCAAGTGCTGGCTTCTGAGCCTCTGAGACCTAAAGAAGTGGGAACAACTCACTCGGAGTCATGCTGTGATGGCCCCAGGGCTTCAGCCCAGCTTTGTCATATCGCAGGCCCGGACTGTTCTCCACACCAGTCTGGTTCTGCACGTGCACATTTACTAGGTAGCCTCAGGAAGGATGGAGGGCATGCCTTTGGAGCCACTCAGCAGCTCTGGACAGACAGCCACCATGCCAAGGAGTGTGGTGGTCACGGCAGGCAGCAGAGTCCGCACCCAGCTGGTAATCCGATGCTTGGGCTCCAGTCCTGGCACAGCTATTTGCTGGGTGGCTTTGGGCAAGTCGCTTCACCTCTAGGCAGCAGAGGCCACCTATAAAATGGGGGTTGGACCAGAACAAATCTCAGTAAACTTTTTCTCTAAAGATAGTGAATATTTTAGGCCCTGCAGCCCCTATAGTCGCTGTTTAAACTACTCGACTCTGCCGTTGTAGCCCAAAAGCAGCCACTGACAATGCAGAAACAAATCATGAGTATGAGTGTGGCTGTGTTCCAATAAAACTTTACTTACAAAATCAGGTGGCAGGCCAGGTTTGAGTGATGGGTTGCCGACCCCCAAACCAGAGGACCCATTGGTCCTTCCAGCCTTTGCTACTCTGGGATTCTGTAGCCATGGTTGGCCTACCGTGGTGGGAGCCAGAGCCAAGCTGTGGATCAATCACCAATCTGCTTTGATGTTGGTCAAGAAATCAGCATCTGTCGATTTTTAGCGCTGTCTCTCCCATGTGGGAGCCAGAGGGAAATTTCAGTCTTTGGTAATCAGTTCTGTTTTTCTCTTTGTAGAATGCCGAGATGTACAAACTGTCTTCACAGAAGTTCCATGAGGCAGCTTCAAAAATGGAGGGCACGATAAAGTAAGAACGCGTTTATGATGTTTCGTAAACTTAGCCTGTATTTGTAAGAATCAGCACACGGGGCTTGGAACCTACCGCCACCTGCCTAACTTCAAGTCTCTGTAATAACATGGACAACCATGTGCTACTCAGTCTCTCACCCGGCTGTGGGGCAGCCACCGGTCATCTGTCATGGGCCAGACGAGCACTCAGCTCCTCCCTGGCTCCCTGGCTGTGGGAATGGGGCCACGGCGGACTGGCAGACTTGTTTCAGACACCATGTAGGCGGGCCACGCCACAGGCTGGCCGTCGGGCTCCCAAGGGAGTCAGGGAAGGGATGTTGCTACGGGCACCTGCCCCCCATTTGTGGAGGTGGTATTCAGACCAGCCTGTTCCCTGAGCATACCTCCGTGTGCCTGGTCGCGGGCCATGTACCTCTTGCATGCTCACGTGCTCAGAGTGGCTCCCTTTTTATTCCCCGAAGGACTGGGGCTCAGGGACACTCACTGATGGCTGGCTTAGGTCGCACAGTGCTGAGTACCAGCGTCCTGTCCCCTGTCTGCGTGCTCCTGCGCCATGAGGGAGGCCTCAGAGCCAGAACGTTAAGGAATGGGAGGCGCATGCGGTGTGTTCGTTACAGCTGCACCCTCCTTCAGGGTGAGGTCACAGGAGGGTCTGTAGGGGTTGCTGTGGGAAGGAGAGCTGGGCCTTGAACTGTGGGTCCTTTGTATGAAGGTGGCCTCTGTGGACCAGGCCAACTCCCTCCTCCTCCCTCAAGGACGAGCCTTTCCCTTCCAGGCTTCAGTCAGGGTGATTCCCCAGGCAAACCAGTCCCAGTGCAGATTGGTGAGGGGTGGGATGTGGCACCTTAAGAAGGAACCATCAGAGAGAGGCTTGGGTGGCTAGGAGGTGTCAAAGTGCTTGTAAATACGGCTGCTGTGACAAAAACTGTGCAAGGAACCAGGAAGGGGCAGTGGGAACGGGTGGCCTCAGTTACAGGTCCAGGGTGCAGCAGGGGGCACCTGAAGCCAGGGGGACATAGTGCTGGAGCTGACCACTGAGTAGCTTTTGGGACGAGCATACAGTTAGTTATCTTGGGATTTCAAGTCCTAGAGCAGTAATAGGGGACTCAGAGAAAGAACTTTCCAGTAGGCAGGTAGAGACTGGAAAGCTCTTGCACCTGCCCGTTGGGATCCCACAGGGGGTTCTGGGTGTAAGCAAGTGCCATGAGCTGCACAGACCCCTCAGGAATGGAATGTTCCATCTGGATCTCAGACAAGCACCCCGATGGCCCATCCAGGGCTGAGAAATACTCAGAATCGCGATCCGTGAGAGGGAGAGGTTGGGAAGCAGTCACACCCCAGAGGCTGTGGGTTGATGGCCACCTGGGTAATGTGATCCTGGAAATGAGCAAAAACCACAGCACAGCCCCTGGCCCGGCCCGTCCCCTGGAACTGCCTGTGGGGCAGTGATGCTGGATCCGTAGCCCCTCCTTCTTTCCCTGGATCACGGAACAGCCCGCCTCATGGAACAGCCTGCTAAGGGAAGACGCTCTGGGGAGAAGCCAGGCAGCTTTACTGTCAGGGACCACACCATTTTGTCACCTGCCATGTGGCCCACCATCCTGAGAGTGGGGACTCCTGGGCTCCTGGTGCCCTGGATTAGTGCATTTGCCTTTGCTGTCATATCCTTTATCATCCTCATGTCTTCTGAAGGCAAAGGGGAGATGGCATGTGAGTATCATCTTAATCCGAGCAAAGTAAAAGGTTTTTTCAAAGGTTTGCAACATCCCTTGATAATTACTACTATTTACTAAGCAGAATACTAAATAGTAGGTGGTCTGTAAGATGGGTGTTGGGATGGAGCTGAGAGAATGCTTGGGCGTGAGCATCCAGCATACCTGGAGTGCACCCTTGCCCTGCCTCTTACTGGCTGCTCCTATGACCCTGGGCAAGTCACGTCACCTCTCTGATGTCCTCACATGCAGAAGAGAGCTGATACCCCCTCTAGTGCTTTGAGTGAGATAGCACATAGGAAATCCGCCTCAGATGTCAGCAGTGGGTGGCAGTGGCAGGGTGACTGTTACTAATAACGGCAGTCATCTGGATTACTCGCAGAGCGTGGCACAGATTTAATAAATAAATTGAGTTTACAAAAAAAATTTTTTTTTCTTTACCCAACCAGAGTACACAGGAAGCGGTGTGGAGTTGGAAATTATTTTACTTAAACATTGGGCTAGAGGGCGGAATCCTTGATTGGGAGCGTTCTTGGATTAGCAGATGATTGTAAATTGCCTCGTAAATGCCACAGAAATAAATGCCAATGCTGACAGCAGTGATAGTTCTCTTCCAAGACAGTGAGCATCTTTTAACAACTTTGAGTAAACTGAGTGGTTACTTAGGTGACTAATTAGATGTCCGTGTAGTCATGTATTCATTTAACATACATGTATAGTGTGCCTACTGTTTGCCAGGTACCATGCTAGGCACTGGTGATAAAACGATCAACGTGACAGCTTCGGTTTCTTTCAGCAAGGAGCTTAGGGCATTTGGGGAATGACAAACAATATTTTTAAATTAATTGCACAAAAAGCAATTGCCCAAATAATGATTGATTATAGTAATGAGCCGTGAAACAAAATGTTTGAATTAAAAAGCATGTGTCTGAGGACCCTAATGCAAACTTCATATGTTTGGGAAGCCTTTTCAAAGGAAGTGACTTTTGAACTGACTCCCGTGGTATGAGGGGGCTTTGGCCAGAGAAAGGAAGGGAAAAAAGAGCACTTCCGACAGCAGATTTGGCATGTGCAAAGGCCCCGGGGCAGGAAGTAATACAGCGTAATCAAGGAATTGAAAGGCCAGTGTGACTAGAGAGGAATGAATTAGAAGAGACAGACTAGGATGAAGCTCTAAGAAGTCAGCAGAGGCCAGACCACACAGGACTTTATAACCATGTTAGAGATTTCAGTCGTATCCTAAAAGCAGTGAAGCACCACCAGGTCAGCTTGCTTTCTTTTCTAATATATTCATTTAAGGCATTGACTTCTCTATAAACACAGCTTCAGTTACACCATAAAGTTTTGATATATTGCATTTCATTATAATTCAGTTCAAAAATTTTCTAATTTTCGTTCTAATTTCTTCTTCAACTCATGGGTTATTTCAAAATGTATTGCTTAATTTTCAAATATCTTGTAATTTCCTACTTACTTTTTTCCCAAAAAACCCTTTTATTTATTAAGTAATCTCTACCCCCAACCAGGGCTCAAACTCATGACTCCAAAATCAAGAGTTGTATGCCGTACCAACTGAACCAGCCAGGTGCCCCTCTAGTTATTTTCTTAATAATTGATATTCAGCTTAATTCTGGGGGCAAAGAACATACTGTAAATCCTCTAAAATTTTTGGACCTTGCTTTATGACTATGTATATGATCTGTTTTGGGAAGCCTTCTATGTACATTTGAAAAGAATGTGTATTCTGCCAGCAGGTATAGTAATCTGTGTTTGTTAGGTTAAGTTAGGCGGTCCTGTTCAGATTTTCTGTATCATTACTGATTTATGGATTTATGGTTTCTTTCTGAGATCACTTTCCTTCTAACTAAAGAACTTGTATAATATTTCTTTTCGTGTAATTTGGCTGATTATAAATTCTGTATTTTTTTTGTTTATTTTTGAGGGGGGGATAGGGGCAGAGAGGGAGAGAGACACAGAATCCGAAGCAGGTTCCAGGCTCTGAGCCGTTAGCACAGAGCCCGATGCGGAGCTCAAACTCATGAACCATGAGATCATGACCTGAGCCGAAGCTGGACGCTAAACCAACTGAGCCACCCAGGTGCCCCTAAATTCTCTATTTTTAATTGGAAATATATTTCAGTTTGAAAGAATCTAGCAATCCTTTCGTTGAGTTCCTTCAAGGTATCTTTACATTCTAATTTGATACCTGTTTTTTCCTGGAGAAGTCAGCTGTTGATACTCTTATTACCCCTTTTTGGTAATTACTTTTTTTTTCTCTGATTTTTAGCTTTTCCTTGTCTTTAGTTTTTTCGCAATTTGACTATCATGTGCCTAAGGAGTCAGTTGTCTTTCTTTTTTCCTGCTTGGGGTTCATGTGTTCGGGTTTGATGTCCTTTTGTTTTAGAAATTTCTCAGCCATTATCTCTTCAAATAAAACTCTGCCCTGGTTTATCTTTCCTCCTTTCTGGAATTTAAGTTACATGTATTACTGTGCCTCCCTTGTCTCTGTGTCTTTTTTTTTTTTTCTTCAGTTTTTCATCAATTTTTTAAAATTTTCATGTTGTCACCTGAGTTTTTACTATTGACCTATCACTTCACTAATCTTTTTAATGTGTCAAGTCTCTCTTACACCTATTTATTGATTTCTGAATTTCAATTATTGCATGTTTTTCAATTCTAGAAGTTCAATTACTTTTTTTTTTTTTTTTTTTTTTTTTTTTTTTTTTTTTTTTTTTTTTTTGATTCCCAGTCTCTGGTGAGATTCTGGGTTTTGCCATCTGTTTTCTTGAACCTGTTAGGTATGGTTATTTTGAAGTCATCTGAGGGTCTGTTTCTATTGCCTTTTCCAAAAACCTCTTGGTCCTATTTATTTGTGTGGCTGGTAATTCTTGATTGCATGCCAGGCATTGTGCCGAGACTACAGACGCTCTGGAGTGTGTTGTCTCCCCCAGAGTGTTCTACCCTGTTCCCTGGTGGCCACCTGAGGGACTGAGCTGACTGGAGGCTTGCTGCAGTTTTGGTGAAACTCAGACCACCTCTGATTTACCCTTCTTCTTAGGGCATGGCTTTCCAGGGCTCCAGTACACCTCCTTTCTTGGTGAGCTTGAAACCCTTGTTTTTGCTTCCTCAGCTCTGTGAGACTTCTGAAAATTCCACTTTGCCTTTTAGTAGCTTTCACTTGGCACCTTAGCCTCTTGCCTTGAGTAGCTCTAGAATGTGACAAATGCCTTAAAAGAGGAAAGTCACTGAGTGTCGGTTCACTATATTTTAGCTCCCTGTTCTCCCG